TAATGAAGAATCTGCACAAATGTTTGTATGTTTCTCACAGTGTGAAAAGACAACGGGTCCTAGAGACATCAGATTTTAAATAATATAGTCCTGCACTCGAATATGAGCATCTGGAAGCCAAAATTTGGAATTTGAAATTTGTTTTATTATCTATTTCATATTTTGTAAAACTTTATTGAATATTTGATTAACAAACTCAACGATATTAATCCTTAATTGCATGTAGTTGCCTTTTGGTAACATACTCATATTTCATCATGTAAATCAAACCAAAACACAAATTTTAGCGTACTGTATAGTGTAACCAATTGGATACATACTGTTTACGTATGTAGTTTTGAAAGTTTCAGTGTGGTGGCACCACTAACAGTGTAACGGTCATTATCGTGACTCGATGTGTAGGGTGGAGAAAACATTTGTGTCTATAAATAAAAATTTAGTTAGAAACTAAGTTTAAATAAATACTTAGTTTAGATAAATAAAATAAATAAGAACTTAATTTAGATTTTTTTAGCATTTTTCCTATTTTATTTGATATTAATTCTAATGTACTCTTGACTTAAAAAATAAAAATTCATGCATTTAAGGGATAAAGCGAGCAATGGCAACACTGCATGGGGGAAAAAATTATCTCCAGCGCGCGAGACTGTGTATCGGAAATTCTATACATATGCTACTTTTAAATTATTTTGCGATATTGCTGTTATGGTTTAAGTGCTAAAAACATGACATTTAATAAATAACGGTAAAACATAAAACGTTAAAAATGGCTCCTTTGGCCGTAATATAAAATCTGAAAGATAGCAGAATTTCTTTTCCTTTTTTAATTCAAATGGAATCAAGAGTCTGACCATTTTTAAAATACTAGACGAAAGAAAGGAAGTCTTAAAGATTTCATCTTCGCATTTTCGGATTATTGGACTATTTTAAAGAGGTGTTGACAATAAGAGTCTTTTTTTATTATTAAACTTGGTTAAACCGTTCTAGTTTTCTTTGTCTATTAGTGTCGAAATTATAATCTGTCATCAACAGGACGTTGAAACTGCAATAAAATTTCAGAAGCATTTTTCATATACTTTAGAAATTCTCTCTGGAGCATATCCGAAGGCGATTCGACTTTCTTATTTTCTGGAGTGTAAACAGTTTAGGAACAAAACTATTTTTCCACTGAGCAAATATACATAATCGGTTATTTTCAGTGAAGATGTGCCCCTGGGCCCATTTGACCTACTCTTAAATCTGAGAAATTGATTTTATTGAAAGCTGAAAGCAATAATATGAGAATGTATGAAAATTCCTAATGTTTTCTCGACGCGTGGCTATCAAAGTAATATAAATCTGCAATTACGTTTTCTAAATTGGCTATTTTTACTTGGAAACTATCGAATGTTTTAAAAAAAAATATCAGTGATTTGTTTTTCTCTCTGGTCGTGGTATTTAGTTCTCTTAATACATATTATATATGCAAAGTAAATAAGTAATTAAATGATAGATTTCATTTCGCCTGCATTTACACTGTTAAATGGTAACAGAGTAATAATGTTTTTTAAAATTCTGAATGATTAAATAGTAAAACAGGATGTATGCTTTATGAAGTAATTTCAGGTATGGTTCATAATATAGTTTATGTTTTATGTTTTATGTCTGTTATAACATTACATTTGTACGCCCTGGAGGAGAACTGAGACCATGCATCTTTCCTTGCTAGTCGTCTCTTACATTTTTTATAAGAAACGTTAAGGTGGTTAGGATAGCTTACTGCGATACCGAAGGGACCGGGTTCGAATCCCCAAAAAAGCATGGATGTTTGTAAATGTGCAGTGTCTGTGCGGCATGGCGGCAGTCTAAATATGCGACGAGACGAAAGACCTTTCGAGAGGTTTCTGGTAGGGGAAGAAGGGTGGAAGATTCTCGGACCCGTCCCCCCCCCGCGGTGCTCTGCTTCAAAATTGGGGGCGGAAGTGAGCGAAGTCGTAATGTCACCTGTATGATGTTCAGGGCTCTTGCCAACGACAGGCGCAGTCTTGCTATACTTGCCAAGATGAATTTCGTAGGCTTGTTCTGATGTTACTGTCAGGCAAGTGAGATAAGTCACAGCATCTTTTATAGCATCAAGGTTTGGTGACTGAGCTCTTAAAAACATTCTTCAATATATGGGTTTTCAAAATTGTACTATACTAACGTTACTGATAAAACTGTTCGGTAAAACTAAGAATTGTCATCAGATTCAATTTAGATTAAAGAAAAAAATCGTAAATTGCACCATTATACATCCTTGCATTTTTATCAAAGATTTTGCTTCAATACCCTTGAGCATTTAGTATTCGATGAAATATCAAGGTGGCTACATTTAGAATAATAAACATAACTTTCTCAGTAACTCTCATTTTCAGCATGACAGCATATTTTTCATTTTTCTTTTTTTAACCATGTCACAAATTGAAAATGAAATTAAGATCCTGTGAGAAGTGTACTGAATTTTATTGCATTCACTTCTAGTTGTGTTCTCCGTAGCTCAATTAAATGGAAGGATTTGCATAATTAGTCTACCGAAGGTAAGGAACTTTGAATATGTCTTTAGGGTGTGAAGTCATAATAGAAAATATTCATTCTTCCTGCTGTTTCTAAAGGTTCGATTATCAAATTAGAAACTAGTCCGTAATGGAGGGCAACGAATGAATAATGATGCAATAAATGGTACTGTTTCTGTTATCGGAACCGAAGTCGTCGCCAAACGTTTTGCGAAACTCACCAAGAGATTGTTTCATATGAAATCGACAATGTTTACTTTAAAAAAAAATAAAAGAATGCCTTTTCAAAATAAGTAATTAAATGATAGAAATAAGTAATTAAATGATTGGCGACAAGAATACAAATTCTAAAGACGTAAAGGTCACTTATGCTGTTATGATTATTGCATTTACTATGGATATGAAATTCGGGGCTTATCTAATGATGAAACATCTTCCATATAATTTCTTCAGAAAGAAGGAATTATTCACTTTGAAAGAAAGGTCGCGAAAACCCTTAAAATAAAGCTTTACTTCAATTAGAAGGAAGCACCGAAATAGTTTAGTTTACTTTATTTGATTGTGGCAAAGCACTCGAGGGTTATCTGCGTAAAGGGACGGATGCCTTTGTGGAGGTCTTTCTTAGGAGAACAGGCTCGTATACACATTACACTTGGAGGAAACCACGAAACCGCTCATGCAGCCAGTCCGTTCGCGGGGTTCGAACCTTCTACCGAACTATCAGTGTTCAGCGACTTTACCGCTGTCCGGCAGCTAACGATCCGGGCATTAACGACCAGTCGCTAACGGGCCGCACCGAAAGGGAGATGTGAAGCTACGAGGTGACGAGAAAAAAAATACGTTCTCAAAATTGGTTTGAAGGATCTAGATTTAGTTTCTTAAAGGCAATTAGTTTCATTTATGCATGGTGTTTTGAATTAACTTCCCTTCAATTCTGTCAGTATCAGCTTGATATGAAACTTTGCACCGTCGCTAGATGTGATAACCCCTTTACCCCCTTGTTGGAGGCTATTTTTGCCTGACAGACCCATCTTCTGCCTAATATGGAGGTTCAAAGTTGGGGGTCAAGCCTGGTTATGTGACTACCTTTCGCTGTACGGAATGTTAACAAAATTAGTTAGGCAGATAGCGTAATTTGCCATAATCAAATTAACCAAACCTTACATGCATCTTGATCTTACAAAATTCATCATTATTCTTAGGTTCATTCAATAATTTAAAGCTTCTCCTTATGACACAAAAAACACACTTAGCTACAAAACTTAATATGATGATAGAAATTTAAGTCAAAAAATTATAAGTCAAATTTTAATGCTGAAAATCTATTTTGTTTCTTACAAATTTTGTTGTTCAAAATTTTGCTGTATTTTGTGCTTTCTGCTTTTTATGTAAGTATGCTAAAATAAACGAGAATGGATACCAAAACAAAAAACGTTTTAACAAAACTTAGCGATATCATTAGAAATTTCTGTGTAAATAGTATCCAAAGAATATTGCATCTAAAGGATAATTTTCATATGAATATTATACAATCAAAACGAACAATTTCAATGCAGCTATTATACGCTCAATAGCAATTCTTGCAAAGAAATTATATCAAATAAATTTGCTTAGAGTCCACTGAAATGAAAGAAGATTTAAGTATTATGATTTCCTTTGCTGCCCACGAAATATAACTGGATATTGTTTTCTTTCACCATGAAAACACAAACAGAAGAAATAAGTGATCAAATGAGACATTTTATCACATACTAATGAAAGATGAACTCATGCACATCAGAAGTTAAAAGTCTTCAAATGTAATTAGCGTCAGCAAGGCATATCGAAACTGATGAATGAATACCTTTGTGACATAGAGGTAAGCAGAAAACTAAAGCAGAAAAACATTTCCTTTTCTTTTCAGATTCACAATGACCAGTAGCAGAAATATTGATAATTTCCTCTCTTTAACGTTTTTAAAATCATGTTTTAGGACCACCAAGGACACAAACCATCCTTCTGATGCAGCACTGCAAATTCATCCATAGGTTTTCCTTGTATTGCACATCGAAGGTCGCGTTGAATACTCACTACAATGAAATCAAGAATGAAACAATCGACCTGTTACTTTCAATAAGAAATACTATACAAGCAAAAAGAAAATAACAATTCTCGTTGTAAGAGAAAGAGTGGATTATTCCCCTGAGCGACAAGAAGGTCCATTCGTAAACAGTTTGACCTAAATATTGGGGAAATACTTGTCTAGCCACTTAATGATTCACCCGGAAAACCATTCTGTAAGTCATCAAAAACACGTTTTTGCGTGAATTTGGTATGTTTTAGATTATTCAAATTCATGTGAGCTACATTTCCTGAGGCAAATCGCAGAATAGGGAAGGATTTCGCCGAATGACAACAGATATTCTCAGATATAACACATTTAAAAACCAAATGGTATGGTACGTACATTGGCCCTCGAACAGCAATACCTTGAAGTGCGTGATTCCAGTTGTAAGTAGAGATTTTTCAATATGTATATTGGAAAAGTATTTGAAGATTCTAGACACTTTAGAATATTTACAGATGTAAAAACATACCTTTAAAATATCAAAAAATATGGAAGGCGTGTTTCCGGGCAGACGTAAAAGGATTTGCGAAATGTTTTTATTCGACAGTGTCTAAGATCTTGAAAATCTGAACATCTTAAATCATTGGTTTTCTACAGATTTAAAAATAATTACATTTTTTTGACACTTTTGTTGGGAAATGTGTTCTTGAAACGCTTCAGCACAAAACACCAAAATGCGTTTCCGACACTTTTAAAGGATATTCTCCAAGGTAGAAACAAAGCTTTTTAAGGTTTATTGCTTAAGCTGCATGAAACGTTGCAACTTCATTCAGATGTGTCTAATTTTAATCTATATAAAACTCAACTTCATCTATAACGCTCGTACAAAATGTAAAATAAAAATTTGTAACAATGATAAATTTTGTGAAAGAAGATCCGGTTTTGATTAGAAAAATGCAAAATTTCTTGGACTTTTTTAGCTGTCTAAAATCAAGTGAGCTTGGAAATCCATCAATCGTCTTAAATATTAAGACTAACTATAGTTTTACTCACAACACAATTATTGTTTTAAGCTATATCAGCATTTTTTATTAACAAATGCGAATAGAAATGTTGATGTTCTGTAATTAATTTTACAATTTTGATTCTTTCTTTCGATATTTATTCCATAAACTTCATTAATTTGCATAACATATTTTCAGTTGCTCTTTTATATTATTATTATTATTATTATCGTTATTTATTTTCAGTCACGCACACTCAGTTTATGCACAGTATTATATATAATGATGGCGTTTTATTCCATATTTTTTAATCAGAATCTTTTACCTTATGCATTATGATTGATAGAGCAATAAATTTCCGCCATTTCGAAATTGTAGGTTGAACAGGATAAGAAAAACAGAAATTTTGTATTTCAAGTCTAAGAAGATTTTTATTACAAAGTTTAATTGCACTACTAAATTGTTGAAGAATTCTTAAAAGAGCCTATCTTGTTTAGCCCTTTTTTGCTTCCTTGTACGAAGTAAAGGAAGTACTGTACTGTACTTCCTTTACTTCGTAAGTAAAGGAAGTACTGTAATCGCGAAAAATTCCGGGTAACATATTTCAACAAAAATTTTCATTTTGACCTCGCTCGAAATCATTTGAACGATATTTTTGTGTGACATCTGTACGTTCAGACAGAATAAAGTTTACTCTTTTTAAACTACTCTTTTTACTACTAAAGTTAACTCTTTTTCCAAAACGGATTATACAATGGATTTAAAATGGCTCAGAAAACATCTTTTTCGGGACATCTGTACGTACGTTCGTACGTATGTATGTATGTATCTCTCATAACTCAAAAACGAGCAGCCTCAAAACGTTGACATTTTGTTTTTGGGACTGTATATAACATCGGTTTAAGATTTTTATCCCTTTAATTAATCTGCATGCACCAGTTGCAGAATTATCAACAATTTAAAAGTTATTTAAGTGGTACTGAGCCTAAAGAGATCGCCATTTCTTTACATTTCAAACTCTTAATAGAACAGTGAATTAAGTCAGTTTATCCATCAACTTCAGTGTCTTTTTACAGAGTGGAATCGAAAGAAAACTTTCAATTTTGTGCACCGAAAAATCTCTCTTTTTGCCCACTGGCCGAATTACTTGTTTTTTAATAAAATTCTAATTTTGTTATCCTGAAAATGGTAAGCCCGGCTGTGAACATAAGAAACATCGGTACTAGAAATTGTAATAATATTCTGTAAAATCATTGCATTTTCAGCTTGACGATAGACGTTGAATATGGTACAGCAGCCATCAAAATGTCTAATTTCGTTATCAGACTGTAGCTCTTTATATATTTTGTGCTCTCCTGTTGACAGGATGGTACGGAAGTGTCTGTCATAGCCTTAGGTTTCTAATTTTGGATAAGACATGGATGTTAGGTGCATATATTCTTTGATGCATAGGGGTGCTTAACGTATTGCCAAACCGGAAGTGTCTTGAGAGATAGGCGGCGGTGGAATAAGAATAACATACTTTTAAATAAATCCCCCAGGTCTGGCGAATCTGCATAACAACAGAAATGAAGCTTTCTCCTTTTTTTAAGTATAATTTGATCATCATTATGGGATGCACTCTAGGAAATGTATCCCTTGTCTTAAACACCTTTGTAAATGTTAAGTTTACTATAAATTCAGATGTTTCTAAATAAACAGAGATAATTAAAAAAACAATAAAATTATTGTAGATACTACTGAATTGTTTCAAAGGGATTTTCAGACTTCAGTAAATGGATAGTTTAATGAATAATGAGTGTATTGGAAGTTATTAAAAATAAATAACTTTTAATTTAAATTTTGTTTTATATGAAAAATTTCTTTTCCAGATTTTAATGTTTTATTGCATGCGTATGGGTTCGTGATAAATTAAATGCACACTGAACCGATGGTAACTGGATAAAATTTATTTTACCAGAAGGAACTTAGCATATTTCTGGAACTTTCCACAAAAATACTCGCACAGCTGTTCTCAGTATCACAGAACAAAATCAGTAGTTACGTTTCAATATACTAAAAGCGTTAAATACAACGCAATGAAAGCACATCTAAAGAGCGAAGCTCACACGGAGATATCTTTACTCCGTAGTCTACTCTGAACTGAGAAAATGATGCTGTTCCCAGTCCTATATAGTTTTCCCCCAACCGCCTAGAAATATGTGCTACTTTAAACTTCTCGAATTAGTGGAAGATATATGAGAGCCGGATATTGTTACAGTTACATATAGGGATATATTACAGTTGTTCAATTACAATACCAATAACAGTTGTACAATGACCGGAAACAAATGTCGCCAAATTGTCACCAAGTTTGAAGACTTTTGGCGATAAAAATTAGTCGCCATCTTGGCGGTATCTTTCCAATTTAGCGAGATAACAATTTTCTTCAATGTTATATAGGCTTGCCCCTGTAATCTAATTTTTAAGGCAGATCTTCGACTCCAGATTTTCATATCACATTATACAAAAGGTACTACAATTTTAAACATTGCTAAAATTACTAACATATATACGAAATTTCATATCAGTGCTATTTGCTTAGATTGAATTAGCTGCAAAGTAATTGTATTTATGTATTTATCTGTCTTCGCCAAAATATTCGCTTCTTATCTTTGTACTTACTTAATTTCCAATTTTGTTACTGTAGCGGTATTAATAAAATGATGTACAGCGTTTTTACATCAGTATTTTTCTTTAGCAAATTATCAAAGCCTCGAACAGGGTAAATTCATTGAGCAACAAGAGAATCGTGAAGTCTTTAAAATGGCTGTCAGCCAAAAAATAAATTATATTCCGCACCTGTGGGTGGTCCTATTAAAAAGGGTTAACTGTAACTGCAAAAGAAGTTTATTTCCAAAAAATATATTGATTCAAATTACGTCTATTAAGAGATTTGAAAACATCCATTAACTCTGGTGTCCTTATTAATCTAAAGCCTGCTTTTATAAAATTAATCACGAATTCTAAACAATTCTTTCGCCTTTTTGATCGCCATTTTAACCCTCAAGATGCTCAGTTTTATTTGCCTAGTGCTATTAAGCTTAGTCAATGCGGCGAGAATATTGCTCCTCTATTCACGAAGAACAAACACACGAAAAAGAAACAAATAAATTCTTTTTTTTTTTATTGACCCGGAAGTAAAATGTGTATATTAAGGCTTAGTAAGGATTTCACAAAAGAAATTTAAAAATGAACCCCTCACTCTACTTATTTATTTAGTTTATCTATTTGTAGAAATTGACAAAAGAATCAAATCACCATCAGTCATTCTGATCGCTTTGTCTAGACGAATCAACACAAGGAACAGTGCAAGAGTTTGGCAAAGTTCAATTGCACCTTTTTAAAAAAAAAACGCAAAACAGTAACACTTTGGGGTGAATACTATGTTACCCATTAATCAAAAAGTGTTTAAGTCGGCTTCCAGCTGAGTCTTAACGTTTTTTACCTAAGCAAAGCAATTACCGTTGAGTACCACTTTTCCTTTCATTGTTTATAATGCACTTTTCTAAATCACTGAGCTATTTGTAATGTTTAAGGTAAATGTTATTACTTGGAGCTTTAGATTTTAATTTTTTTTGCGTGTGTTCTGTATCTGTTAAGCAATAAGTGACAATGAGCGATCGTTTGCAAATTAGTGGTACCTTGTATTTCTTGTATTTCCAAATCTAGGTGAGCATTATAAAGCTTTCATTTTTACAAGTAGACTAGAATTTTTTTCAAAACCATTTGGGAATAAGGTAATTCAAGTCGTTAACTAAAAATACTGTTTAAGCATAATATTATTGTTTCAACCAATTAGCATATTTCATTTAGATGGTTATTAACTGTCCACATGTATGGAATCTTCCAAAATTCCCCACGATTCCAACGATTTTCCTCTTTCGTGGCAGATGGTCGCTTTAAAGAATATAACTATAAGTGATGATCAAATCGATGTTTAGTTTTCACTTCAAGTTATTTTTAGAAGTGGTCTTCTAAGAGAAATGTACGTCATAACATGATTTACAAATAGTAAGAAGTAAACAGCTGTTAACAATTTGCAGTATGGTTAACTTAATATTTTGGTTATTTTGAAAATGAGGAAAACTCTGGGTTCATTTCCTTCAATTTTAATTTTAAACTAGAACATGTATTTAACTTTATAGCTTTACGGATTTTAATCCAGAATTTCAATGAAAATGTTTTTTTTTTTTTGATTCTCCTTCTTTAAAATATTTATTTGAAGAAATTAAAAGTTCTTCTGCGTTTCCCAATGCAGCAATTTTACAAAGGTTGTAGAAACTAACCTTTGTAAAATGTTTCATGTACAATATGTATATGCCTAGATGTAAAATGTTTCATTTAAAATGCAAAAACATATTGATGTCATTCACATATAACTTTTCATTCGGGATTTC